ACACACACACACACATACATGCACACACACACATGTTGTTAAATGCAGTTGAGTTGGTTCCAACTCATAGCAACCCTGTATAGGGTTTCCAGAGTGGCTGTTGGGTTCGAATTGCCAACCTTGTGGTTCGCAGTCCAGTGCTTATCCAACAGTGCCACACCAGTGTATTAGATAATTGCATAAAAAATGTTTAGATGGGATGCCATAAATGTTCAAATTCATAATTGTTATACACGTTGGCATATTTATAATAAAGATGGTATTGTTATGTGCCGTTGAGTTGGTTCCGACTCATATCCACATGGTATAGAGCTTCTGAAGAACGGCTGGTGAATTTGAACTGCCGACCTTATGGTTCAAACTGAAATTGTTGTCCAGTGCATTATCCTGTAGCCACAAACCTATTTACTGTTGGTGAAGTTTAGGTTAGTAAAATGGGAGGTTTCCCTAGGTTTATTAAAGTCAAAATCAAATATTCATGTGTTCTTAAATTTGTATAAAAATATTTTATGTAATGCTTATCATTATATAAAATCATTCAAGATCAAAAGGAGAAAAACTATCTTAGGGCAAAGTTGAGACGGGATGGGAAGGAGAGTGGTATAGAATTAGGAAGTACAGGGAGGAAGCGGGAGGGGATTGACCATTGAGATGAGAAAAAGTGTATGATTTGTGAAATGTAGAATTGGTGATCTTGTCTGTAAACCTTCACTCACTTCATAATACACAGTTTTTAAATCAAGGTTTTATATTAAGTATAATTTATTTTTTAATTAAAGGTTAACATCAGTAGAAGAACTGGATTGTAGTTTCAATGAAATTGAAGCTTTACCCTCATCTGTTGGGCAGCTTACTAATATAAGAACCTTTGCTGCAGATCATAATTATTTACAACAGTTACCACCAGAGGTACTGTATTTCAAATTTAAGTTTTTATTGACTTTACATCTTTTCTAATTATCTTATTGTAGCTATCCAGTTTGCCTTTTTTTTCCTTTCAGGTAGAATTATTATACTGCTAAGTAATTTTTTTAAAATAAGAATTAACTATTTTAATTTAGAAGAAGTATCTAAATACTTTGTTATACATAAACATAATCATTAAAAAGTGGGTATCAGAGGCTCTGAGGAGGAGGGAGTAGAAATTATTGTTGAAGGGTTACTGAGTTTCCATTTGGGTGCTAGGAAACTTTTGGAGGTGGGTAGTGGTGATAGCACACTAAATCGTAAATGTAACTAATGCCACTGAATTGTATGTGTTAACAGCACACAAGAGGACACATTTTTTGTTTATACTCAAAATATATATATATATATATATATATTTGAATACATTTTTTGTTTAGACTCAAAATGAGTGTAAAATTTTTGTTATACTCAATGACAAGCTTTTTTGTAGTATTATTATGTACATAAGAAAAATTTTTCCTTTTGAGTACTTTTTATAGATACAATTCAGTGACATCAGTTACATTACATTTACCATTTAGTGTGCTGCTATTACCAATATTCATCTCCAAAAGTTTCCTAGCATCCTAAAGAGAAACTCAGTACCCCTTCAGCAGTAACTCCTCTGTTTCTGGTAAGCACTGATATCTTTGATACACTATGAATATGCATTCTAGATACATCCTGTAAGTGAGACCATGCATTATTTGATCCTTTATATCACTTAGCATAATGCTTTTAATCATCTAGGTCATTACATAATCAGAATTTAGTTTCTTTTTAAATGATATTCTGCTATATGTATTTTCTGTATTTTAAAATTTCAGTCATATGTTGATTGGTTGTTCACACCTTTTGATTATTGTGAATAATACTGCAGTAAACATCAGTGTACAGTAAACCAATATGTGATCTTTAAATTTGTTTCTTTTTCAGATTGGAAGTTGGAAAAATATAACTGTGCTGTTTCTTCATTCTAATAAACTTGAGACACTTCCAGAGGAAATGGGTGATATGCAAAAATTAAAAGTCATTAATTTAAGTGACAATAGGTTTGTAATACTTCATTTGTTTATAGGAAGCATGGTATATGATCGAAAATCTAATGCTGTTTCCCTTGTAACATGCATTTCATTTTGGGTTAACTTCATCTCTACAATCTTTAGCCTCCCCTTGGTTTCTACAGGCCGATTGTCATGTTAATGTTTCTCTTCAACAAAGCTGCTTTTGGAATTAATCTGTTTGTATTTTTCTTGGTAGAGGTGGTGGCTAGGTACTCTTAAAGCTTGGGCAGTAGAACAAATAAATTTACTAGGGATGCTAACTTAGAACAATGTTGAAGCTATTTCAGACTATCCATAATTTTTCTTAAACTAAAGGTGTTAATAATTATAATAAGAAAACAGCATTCATACAGTATATTTACATGTTGCTCTATGAATATCTACATACCTAACCTACTACCAATGAGTCAGTTCCAACTCAGAGTGACCCTACATCTAGAGCTTCCAAGCCGCCCAGTCTTTCTGGAAGTAGACATCCTTATCGTTCTTATGTGGAGTGGCTAATGGGTTTGAACTGCTGACCTTGCAGTTAACAGCCTAAAGCCGTAACCACAGCACCACTAGGGCTCTTTACATATGCAGTTATTAAAACAACTGTATGAAATAATACGATAGGCCAAATTAAGGCTCAAACAAGGTCACATAACTTATAAGGTAGTGCTTTGATTTAAACCCAGTTTTTTGACTTGTGAAATATTCTGACATCTATTTTATTTAAAGAATTACTTTTTGGAAATTAAGTTCCTGTTTCAGCTTGTGTTTTTTACCCTTACTTCTGGGTACTAACAGATTGCCTAGGAAGATAGATATAAAAGAATAGACAAGGATTTGACAGCAGACTTGAAGTAAATATCCATTCTAAATAAGAGTGGCATTTTAATTTAGTATTTTAATGAATATATTATTTTGTTTTCACTCACTAACCCCTTAGAATAGTATTCATAGAAAGTACTGGCTGTCAAAGAACCATAAAACAATGCTTTTTATAACATTTGCTCTCTCTAAATACATATAAAATAGCTAGAGTTTTATGATGCACTGCTTGATGTGTCCATATCTTTGATTTAAAGCAGAGACTGTTAAATCCTTTTTTAAAAATAGCAGCATTATAGAGGTTATTAGATTATCCATTTTCTTGCCAGCTAAATTAATTCAACTGAACAATTACTTTTAAATAAAAGTCTTATAAACCTGGTTAATATTTGTCTTATGTCCTATACAAAGACCTCTATTGAGCTGTTTCCTAAAGTAATAATTTTTATCCTCTTTACTTTTATAACGATAAGCATTAGTAGAAATATTATTTTAAAGTTTAATTTTTCTTTGTATTTCCCCCCACAGGTTAAAGAATTTGCCCTTTAGCTTTACAAAGCTGCAGCAATTGACTGCTATGTGGCTCTCAGATAATCAGGTGGGCATTCTAATTTTGTAAATTACTGGAATTCTAGTTTTATTATATAATTATGTATTCTAATTTACATAGGGCCATTTAAGAGCAGTTATACACTGATAAATATGTAAAAACTTAGATGTATATGATCCATGTATAAGGAAAAGTTTTAGTAAATATTTAGAAACACTTAATTTCCGTGAAGCAGGCATAGACTCATAAAGAACAAATCCTGTTGGATTTGTCTAATTTCCCCTAAAGCTATTAGATGTATACAGAGATTAAGGAATGAAACTAAATGCTCCCTGCCTTTAATAAGTTTTTGGGATGATCCTATATGGCATTTATGTGTAGGAAAATTGATCATATAAATTGTGTTTCTAACTAGGTATTTCATCATTTGTAAAGATGCTTTTCTTTAAACTTAAGAGTGACTCTGTAGACATTTTTCATCTGACAAACACTTGCTGTGTGCTGTTGAGTTGATTCTGACTTAATAGTGACCCCTATACATAGTTTCTAAGTCTTCAAATCTCTGTGGAAGGAGAAAGCCTCATCTTTTCTCCTGCAAAGTGACTAGTGGATTTGAACTGTTAACTGCAGTTAACAGCTCAGTGTGTAGCCCACTATGACACCAGGACTTCAACAAATGCTTAAAATGAGCTATAACTCTTTTTGGAGCTGAGGATATATTGGTGAATCAAATGGAGTCTTATTCTCGTTGAACTCACATTCTCATGGGCAATTGAAGCAAACAAGTAAGTATGTAATCAAGTTTCAGGTAGTGATGGTGGTTGTTAGGTGCTGTGAGTCAGTTCCTAGACATAGCGACCCTATGCACAACACAATGAAACACCTGCCCAGTCCTGCAACATCCTCACAATTGTTGTTACATATGAACCCATTGTTGCTGCCACTGTGTCAGTCCATCTCATTAAGGGCCTTCCTCTTTTTCATAGACCCTCCACTATTTCATATGTGTTGTAGTAAGAGCCACAAAAATAAGTCAATAAAACTAGGTAGGCATTAGAAGGAGTCCCTGGCATGGTGCTGCGGGATAACACTGGTCTGAAAACCATAAGGTGGGTGGTTCAAACCTTGGAAACCCTATACAGGGGTCACTGTGAGTTGGAACCAACTCACTGGCACTTAATAATGACACCAGTAACAACAAGCCTTAGAAAGGTAGTAGGATTGGAGAAGTGGTTGGTGGTGTTGGTTTAGTGCCGTTAAATCTTTTCCAACTCACAGTGACCGAGGAAGAAGCTTCCAAGGAGCTTCTTGTGGGTTTAAACTACCAACCTTGCAGTCTGGTGTTTATCCTACAGCACCACACCAGGATTACATGGTTAGAATGTTGTTGTTAAGTGCCTTCTAGTTGGTTCCGACTCAGCAACCCTGTATAGGGTTTCTGCGGAGCAGCTGGTGGGTTGAACTGCTGACCTTGTGGTTCACAATCTAGTGTTGATCCTACAGCACCACTCCAGGAGTCCTGGGGTTGGAGTAGATAACCCAATTTTAAATAAGGTGATTAGGAAATGTCATAGGAGGAAACAGTAGAACAGATTACCAAATGATAGTTAGGATTGAGCCATATATAGCCTTGGGTGGTAGGGTTGAACATTTAGAGAATTCTCAGTATAAAGACCCTTGTCGGGTAATAAGCATGGTGTATTAGCATAGTGGTTACGAATCGGGCTGCTAAACCTCAGGGTCAGCTGTTCGAAACTACCAGTGGTTCCGCGGAAGAAAGATGAGGCTTTCTGCTCCCATAAAGATTTACAGCCTCGGAAACCCTGTACAGGGTCGCTATGAGTTGGAACCAACTCTGTGAGACATAACCATCAACCACCATTTGAGGTTTAAATAAAACACCAGTGGGCTACAATGTAAAGAGCAAGGAGAAGAATTGTACAAGATTACATCAGAGAGGAAAGTTGGAAATAGATCATTTAGGGCCTTGTAGCCTCGGAAACCCTGTACAGGGTCGCTATAAGTTGGAACTGATTCCACAGCACATAACCACCACCACCAACCACCAAGGTGTCCTGATGTGGTGCTTTAGCATAAGCGCCTGACTGAAAGGTTGGTTTGAACCATAAGGTCGATGGTTCAAACTCACCAGTTGCTCCTTGGAAACCCTATACAGAATTGCTATGAGTCAGAACCAATTCTATGACACTTAATAATAGCAGCAAAAAGGATGTAGTACTTGTGGTGTGACTTTGAGTTAGATGAGACTCTGCTGGAGTATTTAGAATCAGGGAATGGCAAAATATAAGTTAACGATTTTAAAAGATCATCCTAATCTGTGTGAAGAACAGATTGTGGTTGTTGATGGGCTATTCATCACGAAGAGCATAAATATTAAAGGACACTGTTCTAGTGGTCCAGAAAAAGCTGTTGGAAGTCTTCAACTAGTGTGATGATAATAGAGATGGTAAGACAATTTGGGATGCATCTTTAAAATATTACCAGTGGAACTTACTGATGAACTAATTGTGGAACTTGAGAGGAAAAAACTATGGTTCGTAGGCTTTTCACCCAAGTAACAATATTTGTCATTGTTTTCTGAGACAAGTAAGACAGAGGAAAACCAGTTTGGTGGTAATATCAAGAGTTTGATATTTGACATTGTTAAATTTGAGGAGCGTATTATATATTAGGAGTCCTGGTGTGGTACTGTAGGATAAGTACTTGGACCTCAGGTTTAACTGCAAGGCTGGCAGTTCAAACCCACCAGCTGCAATTCAGAAACCCTATGAGTTGGAACTGACTTCATGGCACTTAACAACAACTGTGTATTAAGATAGGAATAGAAAATATACAGTTGTATATTTAAATTTGGAACTAAGAGAAGGCCAAAGATTGATCCTAGGAATGAAAGTGATTCCAGAATGAAGAATTTGCCATATGAAGGAAGTCACATGGTGTTGATAGGACAGACAACTAATTGTCCTTTGGGTTTCCAAATTAAAGGTAATTGCTTGTCTGGACATAGGACATTTAAGTGGCATGATGTGAATGGAAGTCCTGATTTGAGTTTTAAAATTCATCTGGACCCCTTGAGACTATCACCTTAAGACTCTTTAAACCTAGAACTAGACATATCTTCGAAAACCACTTTCTAGTGAAATATCAAACTGACACACAAAATAAGGCTATTACCAGTAAGATACAGCCCCTACTTAAAAGCCGTCAGTTTGAGACCTAAAGGTTAACAATTTCACAAAAGCAAAGAAGAAAAGATAGAAGAGCAGGGAGCTAGAGTACTGGAAAGGGAACATACAACACAAACAGAATTTTGAAACATTGTGATCATTAAGTCATAACAGCATACATAAAATGGGTTTGTAGTCATTCTGGCCATAAACACCACCAGTTTTCTGTCAGGTTATCATACTGTGGTGACTTGTCATTAAACATTAAACCAAACGAATTGTGAGATAAAAAAAAGAGAGAAAAAAAACCCAAAACACTATACATGAAGAAAGCAAAAGGTTATTAAAAAGACAAAAGACCAAAATGAATGTCAGAAAAGACTCTGAAACTTGCTCTTGAGCTTAGAAAAACTACACAAGTGAAAGAAATGAGGAAGCAAAAGATCTGAACAAAAAATTTTTTTAAAGGCAGCTCAAGAAGACAAAATATTGAAATGAAATGTGCAAAGACCTGGACTTAGAAAACCATGATAGGCATTTCTCAAGGTGAAAAGCTGAAGAAAGAATTAAAGCCTCGAATTGAAATACTTAAATATTTTATGGGTGAAATAATGAATAATATAGGAAGCATCAAAAAAGATGGATCAAAGAGTCACTGTACCAAAAAGAATTGGTCTATGTTCAGTCATTTCCAGAGAGACCATATGTTCAGAAACCAATGATACTGAAGGAAGAAGTCCAAGTGGCACTGAAGGCACTGCCAAAATCAAGGCTCCTGGAATTGATGGAATGCAAATTGAAATGTTTCAATAAACTGATGAAGCACTGGAGGCAGTCACTAGTCTATGCCAAGAAATTTGGATGATAGCTACTTGGCCAACCTATTGGAAGAGATCCATATTGTGCCTGTTTCAAAGAAAGGTGACCCATCAAAATGAGGCAGTCATTGAACAATACCATGAATATCATAAGCAAGTATAATTTTGCTGAAGATAATTAGAAAACTGTTGTAGCAGCATACCCCAGAAATTCAAGCCAGATTCAGAAGAGGATATGAGATGAGGGATATCATTGCTGACTTCAGATTGATCTTGACTGAAAGCAGAGGATACCGGAAAGATGATTATCTGTGCTTTATTGACTATACAAAGGCATTTGACTGTATGGATCATAATAATCTAGTGATAATATTGTTAAGTATGGGTACTGCAGAACACCTAATTGTGCTTATGAGGAACCTGTACATTTGTATTTTTTCAGGAATTGTCCTTTTGTATTTTTTAAACTAATATTTTATAGAAAATGTAGGAGGATTTACAGGTATCATAGAGACGCCTATTGATTTGATGATTATAAATTTGTAGTGATAATAATTTATGCAGTTGTGTGTTAGAGAAAGCATATAATTGGGATGATTTGGGGCTGCAATTTTGCCAAGCAGGTGCACAGAAGGATAATGAAACAAGTAATTCTTAGTGATTGGTAATACAGTGGTTAAAAAGGAAGCAAAATTTGGAGCAAATCATGGAGAGAAAGTAGAAAGGTAAGGGACTAGGTACTTCTGTGAGCTTGATGAGCAAGTATTATGGGAGCAGTGGAATGGGAAAGTGTCTGTTCTCATAGTCTCCTAGTACTATACCTGTGACTCTACTCTTTAGTCACCTTTCACACATCTTTCTTCTGCCAGACTCTTTCTTGTTCCTCTTGGTTCCTTCCTTATACTTTACGTAGGGAGAGATGCAATTACTACAATTCCTATTTGTCTGCTTATTGTTCTTAGAATCTTAGCCCAGTGCTTGCTTCTGAACTTCACTTTTGTGCTCATTACTTAACATTGTAACCTAGATGTGTCATCCACCCACTGTCATTGAGTCACTTCTCAGAGCAACATGCTAATGCACAGGGACGGAGCCTTTTTGCTGCTAAGGGCCATTTGGATATTTATCATATCAGTTAATATAAATTTATGTTGCTATGAAAAAATCTCCTAGATTTATTGAATTTCGAGGCCCGTCTGTGGTTGCCTTGGCAGGGTCAGCCCACATATGATTTCATGGTCTTATATGGCGTGCGGACTGGATGTGCCCCACTCCTTCTATAGGACACAGTAGAACTGCTCTATAGGGTTTCTGAGACTATAAATCTTTACCGGAAAAAAATCCCCATCTTTCTCCCACAGATCTGCTGGTTCAGACCACTGACCTTACAATTAGCAGCCACTACTTAATTCGCCGTGCCACTAGGGTTCTTAGATGTCTCATGTTGTTCTTGTGAATTGCCGTTGAGTCAGTTCCAACCCATAGCAACCCTGTATAGTGTCTCTAAGGGACAGTTGGTGAGCTTGAACCACTGACATTGTGGTTCAAACGACTTTGCAGTCCAGTGCATTAACCCACAGTGTCACCTCAGGACTCCAGATGTTTCATAGACATCTCAAATTCAAGCTGTTTAATATTGAGCATACCATCTCTTTCCCTCTCAATGTTTTTCTCTCTGGATTTCCTAGCTCAGTAAATAGTGCTTACTGGAGTCAGACACTTGGGGATGTAAATTTAACTGTTACTCTACTTACTTCAATTAATTACCAAGTCTTTTTGAGTATTACTATGAAATATTCCTGGTGTTTGTTTCAAGTTATGCAGCCATTCTCACAGCTCTTTCCTCAGTTGTTTAACCCTCATTGACATCAGCACACTGCCCCCTAAGGTTCTTATGAATCTTTTAGAATAGATTTTCTGAGTTGAACTCATTTTTAAAAGCCCCCCAAATACTTTTGATAATGCCTATCTAACAGGACTTAGTTTTCTCCTCAACCCCACTCATCTGCTAAGAAATCACTGCCTCAATAATCTGGTTCTCATTTATATTGTTGTTGTTAAGTGCTTTTGAGTCAGTTCCAACTCATAGCAACCAAGTAAAAGGTTTCCAAGGAACAGCTGGTGAGTTTGAACTGCCGACCTTGCAGTTCAAACTGATCTTGCAGTCAGTGCATTATCCTGCAGCACCATATCAGGACTCTGGTTGTCATCTGTATTTTGTCATCCATATCTGTTGTCAATACCCATGGTTTTGGGAAATTTTGGGGTAAAAAGAGCTAGGAGTTAATGGATTCTGCCTGTATAGGCAGGAAGTATGTGCTTCTGAGACGCATGAGTTTATGCTTGAGGTTAGAGAAGTAATGATAGCAGCATTTGTAAGTGCTAGCTCCACCTCCCAATTTCCTGTCAGTGAGGTGGGGAGAGTATAAGCAACCTCTACTTGAGAAGCTTCAGGGAAGCACTCTCTTTGGGGATGGTGTGGAACTGTCAAAGAGGTGACGGAAAATTTGTTCAATGAAGAAGTTTGAGATTTAGGACTATTTGTATACTAAAGCTAGTGTGGTGGGGGGGGAGGCAGGGGACAAAGCAAACATTTGAATGTGAGTACGATTATAAGATGGAATAAGATTTCCATGGCAGTGGACCCAGAGAACTGGTGAAGAGGCATGTTGGAGAAGAATTTGGAAATCCACTGCCTGTCTGGATTCAGCTAAGACTTGGAATAGTGTGATTTTAATATAAAGTAGACAAAATATGAACATTTTATTTTAAAAATGGAAAATAATATAAAATGTTATTAAATAAATAATTGTGATAATAAATAATTATTTGGCTGTGGGTACATGTTGTTGGTAAATGCTGTGGAGTTGATTCTTCCTCATAGCGACCCTGTATAGGGTTTCTGAGGCTTTAAATCTTTGCAGGAGCAAAAAGCCTCATATGAAATATTTTAATTGCAATACAATGTGTTTGTTTTACACTAAAAATTAAGTTTTATGTTTTTAATTTAAGAGTTATAACTTAAATTTGTCTTTGTAATCTTCAAGTTGATATTTATAGAAAAAAATGATAAAGATTCATTTAGAGAAATTGCTGGGTATGTATTTACTTTAGGATTGTTGAACAGTACATATTTATTTTCTTTCCTTAGTCCAAACCCCTGATACCTCTTCAAAAAGAGACTGATTCAGAGACCCAGAAAATGGTGCTTACTAACTACATGTTCCCCCAGCAGCCAAGAACTGAGGATGGTAATCATTTAAGAATCTTTCTCTTTTTTCCTTTTTTAATAATGAGTAAACAAAGTGAAGGTGTGGAACGAATTTTAAGTTTCAAAGATCTAAGCTAATTTGGAAGGAATTTGGAGAGTTAATTTTGAAAGATTTCCTAAAGTAAAGCAAGATCTCAGATTTATAGATAGTTAAATTTAGGGTATAACCATGCCATATGCTTTCTTATGTTTTAAATTTAACTAACATCATCTATTTTGGATCTCTCCATTGAACTAAATGTTAGGAATATATATTTAGTGTGATGTGATATTGTTTTTGTTGTTAAATGTCACTGAGTCAGTTTCTACCCATAGCGACTCTGTGTACGGTTTCCAAGGAGCACTTGTTGGGTTTGAACTACCGACCTGGTGGTTAGCAGTTCAGTGCTTATCCAACAGCACCACACCAGGACTATTAAATCAGACAAAATTTTGTTCTCTTCTGTTTTTGTAGACTTTAGACTACCTTTAGATCTACTACACAAAGATCAAGATTCCCTGTAGTACTGTGACTCTAAATTTTTACCTCTAAGTCCTTAATAAGGAATCATTTTGCAAAAGAAGGGAATATATCCTTTACTATTTGCCACAAATAAGTATAGAATCCTTTCAGATTAAGGAGCAAATTGTTAAAAGTGTTATACTATATGTCTGTCTAGCCTCGTTCACTAGAGATCAGGAATGCTGGCCAACCCTGCCTGATCAGAGAAAACATTGGCTGTAGCTGAATTCTGTACGCAGCCCATGAAAAGGGTTAATGAGTAAACATAACATGGAGGGTCAGTGGAGCCTAAACAAGACATGTATTTTAAGAGTTTGGGATCAGGCTAAACTTTTTATGTGTTTATTGTTGAACCAATTTTTGAGGGTTATTAAACCTTATATTTTCCTGAGGAGATGAGATTTGAAAAATTTAATGGGACATTTATTGGATAAATTAGACGATTATAGGAATCACTCTGTCTGCAACCAATTCTATAGCCCAGCCGACCAGGAAGTAAATAACTCTAGATGATTCGATTGCTTGGTTAGTTGCTGTTTCCATAACTAGTGCACTGATCATTTCCCAGTCATTTAAGAATAATTCTGGTGTGTTGCGGTAGGATGCCACTGTACTTCTGGCTGCAAGGTCAGTGATTCAAACCCATTAGCATCTCCTTGGAAACCCTATGTAGGGTCGCTATGAGTCAGAACCGACTGGATAGCACTTAACAACAACATACTGTGTGTATATGTTGTTGTTGTTAAGTGCTGTCAAGTCGATTCTGACCCATAGCGACCCTGTATAGGGTTTTCAAGGAGCTGCTGGTAAGCTTGAACCGCCGACCTTGCAATTCAAGCAGCTTTGCAGTCTGGCGCATTAACTCACAGTGCCACACCAGGACTCCATGTGTATATAAAATGTTTATTATATGTTTTACTTAAAATATATCATTTTTATATATACTTCTTTTTATAACTAATGAAAATCTCAGTGGTCCAAAATTATTTGTAAATTAATTAACTAAAAAATGGCGTGTGACCTTCTTTGACTTTACAAGGGGAAATGAGAATCAAACTCAAAATCAATCCAAGGCCAATTCCTCTGAGGTGGAAGTCAGACATGCCTCCACCATTTGTTACCAATTCTGTTACCAACTGTCTCCCACAACACGCTACTTGATTGGGTTCAATAATCCATTGCAATGGCCACAGAGAACTCAAAACATACAGCTATGGGGTTTATTAGGACCTCTGGTAGTGTAGTGGTTACGAATCAGGCTGCTAATCTCAAGGTGGGAGATAGATAAGGCTTTTTGCTCCCGTAAAGATTCACAGCCTCGGCAACCCTATGCAGGACTGCTATGACTCAGAACTGACTCCACAGCACATAACCAGTGGGGTTTATTAGGGAAGTTAATAGGTTACAATTCAGGGTCAGAAATGTTCAGAGCACAGTTCTTTTAGTCAGGACAACCGCTCCTGTGCCATGTCCATATATAGGCCACTTCCTGGCCTTTAACTCCTTCCTCTAGCCTCTGCCTTGTTCTGGCAATGTTACAAAGCTTTAAGGTCTGCTGATTAATGCTCACAAGGCACTTGGCAGTGGCTCCCCCAGTTAAGTGCCTGGAAGCACTCATGCCCAAAGTCACTCAGCTTTTCCTGCTGTGTGGACTGGGAAGTCCACCAGTTAGTCTTTTGCTCTAGCACTTGGTTCTGTTGGCGGCCACTCCTCTGCTTTCCTGGTGTCGCAGCTTTCTGTCCCTGGGTGAAGGATGTTCAGTGTGCAAGAAGCTCTGGGTCCAAAGGATGTGCTCCACTCTTGGCTCCTCCTATGATGGTAGTGAGAATCCCCCATTCTTGTTTCTGAGATGACTCATTGTATACACATTAGAGTTCCAAGTTTTAACAATCACAACTAAGTCTGTTAACCACTCACAACAGATTCTTATCATCCCATCAGCAACTTCTCCCGCATTCTATTACCCAGACCTAGCAAGGCAAAAACCACAAAGCTCCTTTAGTGCTGCTGATAAACGTCCAAAGGTTACTCCTTTCTGTAAGCACTTAGCTTTACTCGTTCTGTAGACCTGTGAGCATGGCAGATCTGGCTCCTGTTCTTGGTGCTGCTACTTCTGCTACCACCTCTGTCTTTGCTGCCACCACTTCCCCCCACCTCAACTGCTGCAGTAGCACTGTTCTCCGTCTTCTGGTAGTGCTACTCCCCCATTGTTGCTGAGATGGCTCATTTAAAACCCAGCCGGATGGCAAGACTGACCAAATCCCACCTTAGGTCTCCATACACCTTCTTTGTATGATCCCATCCAGTCATTTGATGGGCGTTAACAAAGACTATAGTAAAAGAGCCACAATTCATTGTATCACAGTACCTCGTTACAAAAATATTAAAGAATAAAAAATTGTTAGTCTAAATTTATAAAATATACTTTGGGAAGGTAACATAAATTCTTGAACTTCATTTTTTATCTTGAATTGAGAAATAGTATTTGTTTTGGAGAGTTACAAAAGATGAGAAGTAATTTATGGTTATAAAGTACTTCACACTGTGCCTCAATCAAATTGGCACTTATTCTTACACTGTTGTGGCAGGTTCAGAAAACTGCTTTGAAATACTTCAATAGACCTACCACTAAACGTATCTAACTTCTGCTTCATTACTAATAATAAATAGTTCAAAAAAAAAAAAAAAACCCATTACGTACTCTATACTAATTACTTTTGCTCTTTGGAAGAAGGAAATTAAAGTCTTGTTAAAATACCCTTGACAAAAGGGTATTATCAGATGAGTGTGTACATTTAATGAGGTTTGTTTGTGTAAAGCAAAACTTTTGTTTAACTTTTGAACTGGTTCTGACTTATAAAATATATGAAAAGTATATTACTTCACTCACTAGGAGGCTTGTATTAAGAATAAGTTTACCAGCAAAATTTCTCTTCCAGAAGTATTTAAATCCACTCTCCAATCTCTATATTTAGCAATATAAGAAAATGCGAAAATAAGTACTGTGACAAAATATAGTATGCTTAATTTCAGTTGTCATTGTTGATGTACTGCTTCGGGCAAACAGTGTTTGTGCACTTGAAATTGTTGCTGTTGCTGCAGTTGTTGGTAGTTACCCTTGAGTTGAATCCAGCTTATAGGAACCTTATGCCTAGTAGAACTAATTGATGCCTGGTCCTGTGTCAAAATTAAAAATAGACATAGAGACTCTGGTTCCTACTACAACAGCAGCAGCATGGGGAAGTAAAACAAATGGCTGGATATAACAATAGACATTTTTGTTTGTTTGCCGTAGTTACCAGGACTCGTGTCTCAGTATTTTACTTTTCTTTGACTATGAAAATAGTTTCTGAATAATAAATACTAGGTACACATGAGCATTCCATAGAGAATATGATCAGCTACATAATATATTCAAATAATAGTTCTTCTGTATAGGAAGACAGGGTATTTTTGAGGGAAAAGAAGGAATAAGTTATTAGCGTAGAGAAGAGATTTTAATGCCCTGTAGCTTGGGTTAGCAAACTATTTAAATAGTCATTTAGTAAAATTGTAGGCTTTGCAGCCATAAAGTTGTTTTCACAGCTACTTAGTTTTGCCATTTTAGTGTAAAAGCAGCCATAGAGATAAATGTAGATAAATGCTCATAGCAGTGTTCTAATGCTGTTAAGTGTCATCAAGTCGGTACCAACTCATGGTGGCTATGTGCCGTGGTGTCGGTTCCGACTCATAGCGACCCTGTACAGGGTTTCCGAGGCTGTAAATCTTTACGGGAGCAGAACGCCTCATCTTTCTCCTGTGGAACTGCTGGTAGTTTCGAACTGCTGACCTTGCGGATCGCAGCCTGATTCATAACCACTAAGCTACCAAAGTTCCTTTACCAACTCATAGTGACCCTGTTTTAGGTTTCCAAGGAATACCAATGGGTTTGAACCACTGACCTTGTGGTTAGCAGTGTTTATCTTACAGCACCACACTAGGTGTTCTAATAAAGTTTTATATATAGACATCAAAATTATAATTTCATGTGTCAAGAGATTTTTTTTTCCTTCTTCTTCCAAGTATTTAAAAATGTGAAAACCATTCCTAGTTCATGGGCTATACAAAATGGGTAGTGGATCAACCTGTTTTGTTTTGAAAAAGTGTTTCAAAAAGGTAAGAAACCTGGAAAATATTAGAAAGGGATCAAATACATATATCATTCTGAAGGTGGATCCACGATTGACTGTATGCTGTTGAGTCAATTCCAACTCATAGGGTTTCTGAGGCTGTAAATCTTCGTGGGAGCAGAAAGCCTCATTCTTCTCCTGAGGAGTGCCTGGTGGACTTGAACTGCTGACCTTGCAATTGGCAGGCCAATGCATAACCTATTGCACTACCAGGACTCTTACCAATATGAAGGTAGAATCCATAAAAGAAAAATATGTTTCCCTCTGTGCTGTTATACCATATAGCAATGCATATAAGGGTTGTGTTTATGTTAAATTTTCAAAAAATAGCTTTGACTTAAATATTTCCTTCTTTCTATTGTAAAACTTTCCCCCTCTCTGTATACATAATTGTTATTCCTAGAATTATGAAGAACAGTTCTGAATACAAAGACATAGATGAAATAATTGATGTCCTATAGTGTTAGTTTTTTAAGGAGCTCTGGTAGCATAGTAGTTACAATTTGAGCTGCAAACCTGAAGGTCAGCAGTTCAAAACTACCAGGTGTTCAGCTGGAGAAAGATGAGGCTTCTGTTCCCGTAAAGATTTACAGCAACAACAATAACAACAACAATGTTAGTTTTTATTAGTACTGAACTAAACCACATACATAAAATGTTTTAAATGGCAGTTTTGCTTTAGAATTATCTGTGATTAAAAATTAATAATAAAAAACAGATTTAGGGGAAAAAAGATATGGTTGACATTGTAGATAGAATCACAATCTAATAGCTTAGGATTTATAGCTCCTGGCATTGACTTTTTTAAGACTTAGTTGAATGAACATAACTAATAGAGAAAATTTTGAAGATGTAAACTTTTTTTTATATTTATAGTAATAATAGTTTTTGTTCTTATTTTTTTCTAGTTATGTTTATATCAGATAATGAAAGTTTTAACCCTTCATTGTGGGAAGAACAGAGGAAACAGCGGGCTCAAGTGGCGTTTGAATGTGATGAGGACAAAGATGAAAGGGAGGTACCTTGCAAGGTGAGTCTACACTTTCTTTCTACCTTAACTTTGAAACAAGTCTACTAATATGTATTGGCTGCTATATTTTAAAAATACAAAAAGAATGTGAAAGTGGGAAATTTAAGAGTCAGGCTGCATAGTTGGAAAATATGACCTTGGTGATAGAAACAGTGCTAGAGATTATGTGATAGAACTTTGCAAGACCAATGACTTCGTCATTACAAACACAGTTTTCCAACACATAAAAGGTGACTATACACATGAGCCTCACCAGATGGGACATACAGGAAGTAAATTGGCTCTATCTTTCAGAAGAGACAATGGAGAAGCTCAGTATCATTAGATGAAAGAAAGGGGTAGACTGCAACAAACTATCAACTGCTCGTATGCAAGTTCAGGGGGAGCATAGTGGCTCTGTAGGATAAGCACTGAAATGGGAACCATAAGGTTAGTGGTTGTAGCCCATCAGCTGCAAGATGAGGTGTTTTGCTTCCACAGAGACTTACAGCCTTGGAAAAACCTATACAGGGTCACTATGAGGGGAAACTAACTTGACAGTACTTAACAACAACAACAACAAAGTTCTGGCTGAAGCTGAAGAAAATTAAAACAAGTCCATGAGAGCTAAAATATGACCTTGAGTATATCTCACCTGAATTTAGAGATCATCTCAAGAATAGATTTGATGGATTAGACTCTACTGACCAGTGACCTCCATTTGCTTGGATCAGTGACTTCTACCATCAACATTCATGGAAGCAGCAGTCAAAAAAATCTTAAGATGTATTTATTACATTTAGGTATATCTGCTGCACAAGATCTTTTTAAAGTGTTAAAAGAGCAAAGATGTCACTTTAATGTGTGCCTGACCCAAGCCATGGTATTTTCCATAGCCTCATATGCATGTGAAAGTTGGGCAATGAGTAAGACAACCATCAGTGCATTTAAATTATGATGTTAGCTAAGAATATTAAAAGTACTGTTGACAGTTAGAAGAACAAACAAATTAGTCTTGGAAGAAATGTAGCTATACTGCTCCTTAGGCAAGACTTTGCTCTAGTTCTTTGGACATCTTGCCAGGAGGGATCAGTTCCTGGAGAAGGACATCATACTTGGTAAAGTAGAGGGTCAAAAAAAAACAAAGAGAAAGATTCTCAACAAGATGTATTGACACGGTGGCAGCAACAATGGGCTCAAACGTAACAGTTGTGTGGATTGCACAGAGCTAGTAAGTAGTTCGTTTTGTTGTGCATAGGATGGTTACTATGAGTGGGAATTGACTTTACCTAACTAGAACAACAACAGAGAAGGCTTGGATTTGTTGCTGCCCACAAGGCATTTGCTGAACCAATATATGTCACACTTGAGGTAACTTGAGAGCAATATAAAACTATGATCAAAAGTTACATTTCATACATATATATGGAGAGTCCTTGGTGTAGCGCTATTGGATAACCACTGGATTGCTAGTCACAATATCAGCAGTTCAAACCCACCAGCTGCTTCTCAGAAACCTCATATCAGGGTTGCTATGAATCAGAGCTAATTTGATGTCGCTTAACAACAACAACGAATATAGAGACATCCTGGTGTGGACTGTTATTTGCAAGGTCAGCAGTTGAAACTCTCTGAGCTGCTCCTTAGGAACCATATATGGTGCAGCTATGATTTGGACAGACTCAGCAATACTTAGCAACAACAACAACAACAACATAAATATAGAAGAAAACAGATCACTGTAGGCTAAAACAACTAACCAGAACTTTATCTTGAACCTAGTGTCCTTTTTATGTAACTACAACATTTAGTAATTTTGGATTTTTTCAGTTGGTTGGGGTTTTTTGTTGTTTATTTTTTAGGTAATTAAAGTGACTTTTATATACATTCTAGTCATAAAGAACTCTTTGATGAAAGCATTTTGTTTCTTTATGCAATTTAGAAAATGTAACACAGTAATAAAAGCAAGTATACTATATTTGCAAGTTACTTATGGATAAAATTATTTGCTCTTTATATATTCTAACTGAATCATAGACACTAACAATTAAAGACCTTGGTTCAGAAAACATATGTATATGAATGCCTGAATTTTATCTATGTCTGGATATATAATCTGTTTCAAAGCCAAGTGACAGGGGTTTTCACATATTCACACTTTACATTTGTAAATGGGAACTATTTAAGTCTGCTAAGAAACCAGTTAAAACAGTGAAATCTATAAATGTGAAGTCTTTTGGCTATTTTGTGATGCTAGACTTTTATTTACCTATTTGACTATTTTAAATGTCACTTACTCTGTTTCTCTAGGAAGGAAATTTAAAGAGATATCCAACACCATATCCAGATGAACTTAAGAATATGGTCAAAACAGTTCAAACTATTGTACATAGATTAAAAGATGAAGAAACCAATGAAGACTCTGGAAAAGATATGAAACCACATGAAGACCAACAAGTTGTAAATAAAGATGTTGGTGTGAAGGTTAGAAAACTCAATTCAAAAGTCTTAACCAAAATTAATTTCAAGTTCTTTAAAACTGTAAATGGCAATCGGCAATGATGATACTTTTTATATTTGCTAAAATGTACTGTCAAAATTAGGATTTTGTTCTCAGCTGCTTGAATTGGAACTCTCTTTATAATAATCATTAGCAAATCCCTGAATTACTACTGTCACCACCTCTCTGGTTATAGAATTGTCTGGACAGGCCAGATAGTATTCCCTGAACAAAGAATAAGATAATAAATGTCAGAAAATGTATTACTATGAGAATATTATTTTCTCCCTCTGATATTACTGCCTCCTTCTTCTTTCCCATTCTAATTTAAATGTAATTGATATGATAAACTTTTGACAGTTCCTTCGGATGCTTAGAAATATTCACAAATCTCTTAACTTGGATATTCCTTTTATTCAACTTTTTATCCACGTTGTGTCATAGAAACAAATACCATCTCACTAGAATTCCTAAAAGTAACCTGGTGGTGCCATGGTTAAGCACTTGGCTCCTAACAGAGAAAGTTACAGATTTTGGTGCTGTAAGATAAGTACTTGACCACAAGGTCAGTTGAACTGCAAGGTCGGCAGTTCAGCTCACCAGCTGCTTCTCAGAAACCCTATACAGGGTCACTGTGGGTAGGAACCAATTCGATGGCATTTAGCAACACCATTATGGTTGCTGTAGATAAGTTGTACACCTGTAAAAAGTTGAATTGCTAAAAGTTGTATAATCGATACATTTACATACACATTAATAAAGTGTAGCTATGGAGTCCTGGTGTGGTGTTGTGGGTTAATGCGCCAGACTGTAAAGCCGTTTGAACTGCAAGATTGGTGGTTCAAGGTCACCAGCTGTTCCTTAGAAACCCTATACAGGGTCGCTATGGGTCAGAACTGACTCAGCGGCACTTAACAACAACGACTGAGGTTGATGATGTACAACCAAAAACCCATGTGATTTAGTTTCTTGGTTTGGAGGTTTAGGGTCATGGTTTCTTGGGACATCCCAGTTAATTGGCCTAATATATGTTGAGTGCTTCTCTTCTGCCTCTTCATTCATTGGTTGTGCCTAGGATCTTAAAAGCTTAAAAGCAACTACTCAGTGTACAACAATTAATGGACGGGCCCCTGAAACTATTGACCTGAGATGTCTTTAAACCTTAAATCAAAAATAACTTCTGTATTCTTCTTTAAACTGAGTAATAGCTTAGCTAAACTAGTAAAAACAGTTTGACTTGAGCATATTATGCGTTTGTGACAATGTTGGTGGTGTGCCGCTGAATCTGTTCCGATTCCTACTGATCCTGTGTAGGGTTTCTGAGGCTGTAAATCTTTACAGGAGCAGAAAGCTTCATCTCTTTCTCGAAGATCATCTGGTAGATATGAACTGCTGACCCTGTGGTTAGCAGCCTAACTCATAACCCATAACACTAATGACTCCTTTATGCTCTTATAAGAACTATTTACCACATTTACTGGAAAGCTTAGATAAGAACCGTAAGGGGCAGTGAATTATGTTAATGAGGAAGAACAACTCAGCAAATGTGAGAATGGTTGTGTACAACTCGAAGATGTAATCTGTGTCACTTGATGATACATGTAGAAACTGTTGAGTTGGTATATGTTTTGCTGGGTATATTCTCATAAATAAAAATCAAAATAAATAACCAGTTATATGAGACTAAATGGTTAACATTTACCCTAAAGCAAAGATTGAGGGGGAGGTACAGGGAATCTAGATTAATGGATCTGAAACAACCAATATGGAAATAATGAGAATATTGCAAACATGGGAAATGAAAAAAGAAAAAAAAAAGATGGAAATTGTTAAACGGAAACCAAATTTCCTGTGTAAATTTTCATCAGTAGCACAATATAATATTTTTAATTAAGGGGAGAAAGAAAACAATCTATTTATGAACTTGGAAACCCTGTGGGGCAGTTCTGCTCTGTCTTATCAGTCACCATGAGTTGGAATCAACTTTGGGACAGTGGCTAGAGCCACTACAGGAGTCCCTGGATTGACCACTCACTATAGGATAGCATTTCACATTCAAGCAGAGGTGTCGCAGAAGAGAAGGCTCATCATCTGCTTCCAAAAGATCATCGCCTTGAAAGTCTTACGGAGATCTCACTCTATAAACCTGGTGTCAGTATGAGTTGGAATCAATGACAAACAACATTTACTGTATAGTCTACATTCACCAGAAAAAATTCAACTGCTGTAAGTGAGTTACCATGTTGAGCCATACATACCACCCTTGCCACATCTAAGATGAAAATTAGCCTCAGCTAAAGTATCCATTTTAATGTGGTTTATGGATCTTTTAATGAGCCATGCTGGTGCTTTAGGATAAGCACTGAATTTCTAACCACAAGGTCAGCAGTTCAAACCCACCAGCTGCTCCATGCGAGAAGATAAGTGGTCTCCTGTAAAGATCTATTTATCGTCTCAGAAACTCTAATAGGGGTGCTATGAGTTGAAATAAGAAGCCCTATTGGTGTAGTGGGTTACACATTGGGCTGCTAACTGCACAATTGGCAGTTCAAACCGACTAGCTGCTCCAAGGAAGAGAGACTGTCTGCTCCCATAAAGATTTGCTCCCATAAAGAAGCAGTTCTACTCTGACCTATAGGGGGTTATTCTAAGTTGGAATTGACTCAGTGGCAGTAAGTTTGGTTTGGTTTTTGTATGAACCTTTTGGCCCTTGCTGGGTGGTGCAAATGATTGTTACATAAAGCTGCTAACCAGAAGGTTGGAGATTTGAGTCCACTTAGTGGCACTATAGGATAAGCGCTGGCCAAAAGATCAATTTGAACTGCAAGGTTAGCAGTTCAAACTTACCAGCTGCTCCTTAGAAATCCTGTAAGAGCACAGTTCTACTCTTGAGCCAGAATCAACTTGATAGCTATTTGCTGGCTATGGAATTTTGTGGCCCACTTTTTCCTAAAATGAGCATTTTATCTGTGACTACTACAGGTTTGATGTTCAAAGTGTGCTTAATTATGAATAATAGAAAATAGAAAGATTATAGATTGCTTTTTAAATTTCATCTGAATAATTAGTAGACGTGTAAAACTTAAAGAATACAAATTCTTTATCTTTTCTTAGACTTCAGAAAGTACTACTCCAATAAAAAGTAAAGCTGAGGAAAGAGAAAAATATATGATAGGGAACTCTATACAGAAGGTCAGTGAACTTGAAGCTAAGAACAGCCCTGTCACTGCACATGTGAAAGTCTCTGAGAACTTGAAGCATATTGTTAATCACCGTGATGTTTTTGAGGTATGTCTCTTTATGACTATCCCAGGAGTGGTCACAAGAACTTTCAGTTTAATATTACATTGTGGCTGGCTTAAGATGAGAGAAATTCTGATATTGATAACAGAAAATATTGTACTGGCAAATACGTTTCTCATAGAGAAATTTCATAATATTTGTTAAAATAGCAGTTATCAGTTTAAACATACAGTTTGATACCCATTTTCAAATATTTATTATTTAAATTATCAGGTGGAAATTCTGTCTAAATTTTTTTAAATGTATAATTGTGATAGCTTTTATTTTTGTAGCTTAGAATTGGAAAGGGAAATTTGCCATAGGATTTCTTAATTGCTTGACTTATTACAGTATTTATTCTTGGGTGTGAAATTGTTTTTTTCTTGACTGACAAACTTTATTGTAGAGCTTCTTCTGAAACATAGTATAAGCTGTAACTTAAAAACAAAAACAAAACCAGTGTTATTGAAATGTAACCTGCACACGATACAATTCATTCTTTAAAATGTATGATTCATTGACTTTTAATCACCACAATTAATTTGAGAACATTTTCATTACTCCCAAAAGAACCTTGCAGCTCTTAGCCATCACCCCTGAAAGCTCCATCTCCCTCATCCAGGCAACATATCTGCTGTCTATGAATTTGCCTATTCTAGACATTTCATATAAATGGAATTGTGCAATATCTGGTCTTTTTGTGACTAGCTTCTTTCACTTTCCATGATGCTTTCAAGTTTATTTATGTTGTAGCATATGTCAATATTTCATCCCCTTTTGTGGCTGAACAATATCCCATTGTATGGATATTCCATATTTTGCTTATTCATTTATCAGTTAATAACACACTTGTTATTTCTGCTTTGGGGCTGTTATTAAAATTCATGTACCAGTTTTTGTGTAGACATACCTTTTCATTTCTCTTGAGTATATGTAATTGCTAGATCATGTAGTAACTCCAAGTTATACCATTTGAGGAACTGCCGAACAGTTTTCCAAAGTGACTGTACCATCTTAAATTTCTCTTGGTGTGGCACTGTAGGAAAGTGCACTGGACCATAGGTTCATTTGAATCACAAGGTCATAGATTCTGCTTTTTAATATTCCCATTGCTAGGTAGATAGGATTGGGAATCCAATCCACCAGAATAAATATCAGGAGTTAAGGAAAGTAGCTAAGAATGGGAAATCAAAGTAATCTGTTTTTGCATAAGTCTTTGAAGACATCACAATATAGCAGTAATTATCTTTGTGATATTCTGTAGAAATGCTCTCATGTGTTTATCTGTACACATATAGGGGAGCACACTAGGTCTGTAGGATAAGTGCTGGACTGCAAACTACAGGTTAAACAGTTTGAGCCCACCTGCCATTCCTTGGGAGAAAGATAGGGCTTTCTGCTCCTGAAAGCTTTACAGCCTCGGAAACCCTATACCAGATTACTATGAGTCAGAACCAACTCGACAGCATTTTGCAACAACAACATACATGCCTAGATAAAATACCATTTGATTCCTTATATGGCATTCCTAATGCTCATTCATTATAGTTTCTGTTGCTATGTTTGAAGCTATGGTGATGGCATAGATAAATGGATAAATAGATAAAAATGAGGGCAAATGTAATCAAGGTAGGTAGTGCTATAGAAATTTAGGAAAGCAGTCTATTCTGGTTGCAAAGAACCAAGGATTCTATAAGGAAAAGGAGGCATTTACCTGTGTTTCATGTAAAGCAAAATATTTATTAAATGACCCTTTACTGAAATAATTTACTTAGCTCATATCATCTTGCTTTGTAATTATATAATTTATTCTCAAACATACTGGATAGTTAAGCACGTAGTAAGTCTTTGTACTTTTAGCAGAACACGTTCTTATGACTGTGAAAATACTACTATATTTTAATCATATTTTCTGTGAATAGTTTTATCTGCATATGTGCATACATGTATGTTGTTGTTAGGTGCCATTGAGTCAGTACTGACTCATAGCTACCTTATGCACAACAGAACAAAACACTGCCCCATCCTGGGCCAACCTTAAAATTGTTGGCCACGCTTGAGCCCATTGATGCTGCCACTTGGCCAGTCCATCTCGTTGGGGGTCTTCCTCTTTTTCTCTGACCCTCCACCTTACCAAACATGATATCCTTCTCCAGCAACTGGTCCCTCCTGATAATATGTCCAAGTATGAGAGATGAAGTTTGGCCATCCTGACCTTCAAGGAGCACTCTGGCTGCACTTCCTCCACCACAGATCTGTTGGTTCAGCCTATGGCACTTTCAATATTATCCTCCAACACCATAGGTCAAATGCATCAATAAGATTCTTTTACAGTCTTCCTTATTCATTGTCCAGCTTTCGAATGCATATGAGGTTATTGAAAATACCATGGCTTGGGTACATATATAAGTATATGTATATTCTCTCATAAATGGCATGTAAAATACTAAAATTTTCCTATTGTTGACTACTGCAGCATTTTTTGCCATCTGATACCACTCAATGGTAGATAAGCTGGGGAAGTCGCTTCTTTGCATTTTTCCCAGAGTAACATTAATAATAAAGTTCTTTTTCCAAGTTTGGCAAAGATTGATATTGGTTCATTTCAGTGGTAGAATACTGCAGTCCAACTGATTCCTTGGAACCAATTTGAGAATTAGGGAGAGATATTTTGTTGGCATTCCCTCATTAAATTGAGTTTTTCAAGACTGGGATTGTGTTTCATTCACCTTTGCTTCTCTGTTGTTGTTGTTCATTGCCGTCAAGTCAGTTCCAACCCATAGCCACCTTGTATAGGGTTTCCAAGGAGCAGCTGGTGAACTTGAACAACACCAACCTTGCAGTCCAAAACTGACTTTGCAGTCTAGCACATTAACCCACGGCGCTACACCAAGACTCCTCTATTTCCAAGCTCATAATCATTATCATACCAAGTAATAATTAATGCACTTAAATAATCTGCCACCGAAAATTATCACTTAGTCACTTTGACATATTGTTAATAATTGCCATGGTTTTATTGCCGTATCTTGGGAAAGTTATATAAAATTGCATGTTACTTTTAGTCACTATTACCAAAAAATGTTCTATAAATGTTCTTTATATTTGCTTTGCCTCTTGAAGTTCTTATAACTTTTAATGAAATAAAAATTAATTTTTATAATTAATTCCCTTTTTTCCTTTAAACTAGGAATCTGAAGAACTTTCTTCTGATGAAGAGATGAAAATGGCAGAGATGCGGCCACCATTAATTGAAACCTCTATTAACCAGCCCAAAGTGGTAGCACTCAGTAATAACAAAAAAGGTTAGATATAGGAGGAAAGCCCTACAAATAGAATTTATGGAATGTGCTTCATTAAATGACATTGTTACTGAAAATATGCCTTAGATCATTATTCTTCCAACATGTACCTTTATTTATAAAGTCACAAATTTAAGGCTAGATTACTATTTCATTTCTAGTCCTTATGTGGCTGTGTTCATTGAGTTATTTAATTTAGCAATTTAAGATTTTACCAATGTTGACATTTCTAATTTGACATACAATAGGTTTTAAAGATTTTTTGTGCTTATCAAACAAAAGCACCCAGGTCTAGTGCAGTACCTGGTGGTTAAAGATACTCGGGATTATTTTACTCTTATCTGTCCCAAACTTTTTGTTAACCCTCCAGTCATTCTTTCATGTAACTTAGAATTTCAGACTCTTAGAAATGAGAAGATATCTGTCCCTTCTATTCTTCCTTCATAATCCCTCTCTGTCAATGCTTGAATTCTATATGATTTGTACCAAATATTCATCAGCCTTACTTTTATGCCTTCAGTTCTTCATCATCATTATAATCAGATTTTTGAGCACTTACTCGCTGATGGTAAACATTTTACATGTATTGAATTTTCATAATAGCCCCACAAGAAGATGTAAGATGATTAGTACAGCTAGGGAAAAACATCAATCATATGTTTAATGTTGTTGTTGTTGTTGTTATTTGCTGTCGAGTCAGTACCGGTTTATAACGACCTGATACACAATGGAACGAAACACTGCCCTGGTCTTGGGCTATCTTCTATAACACCATAATTCAAATGCATCAATTCTTCTACTGTCTTTTTAATTCATTGTCCAACTTTCACAGGCATGTGAGGCTAGTGAAAATATCATGGCTTGGGTCAGGTGCACCTTACTCCTCAAAGTGACATCTTTGCTCTAGAACACTTAAAGAGGTCATGTGCAGCAGATTTGCCCAATGCAATATGTTGCTTGATTTCTTGACTGCTGCTTCCTTGAGTGTTGACAGTTGATCCAAGAAGAATGAAGTCCTTAACAACTTCAATCTTTTCTTCATTGATAAAAATGTTGTTTATTGGTGCAATGTTGAGGATTTTTGTTTTCTTTACACAGAAGTGCAACCCATACCAAAGATTGTGGTCTTTGATCTGTGTTTAATAGATCCTTGATATATGCTTTATAGTACTTTAAAAATGAAGAATCCAAGATCCGCAAATACTGTAAGCTTGAAGTCACATGTGCTACTGTTGAAAACAGTACTTGCATTGTCTTTCTAAATTCTGTGGAAGTGTAAATGTATTCTTAGTTCTTACAATATCCTGTAGCTATATCTACTGTAAACACTGTTTTTGTGATCTGGCTAGAATTGAGTTAGTTAAAAATGGCCTGTAAAGTTTGCTAGGACTCCTGCTGTGGTGCTGTGGGTTAATGCGCTGGACTGCAAAGTCTGTTTGAACTGCAGGGTTGGTAGTTCAAGCTCACAAGCCACTCCTCAGAAACCCTATACAGGGTCACCATGAGTCGGAACCTACTTGAGGACACTTAACAACAGCAACAACAAAAGGGTTGGTTAGTTAAAAATGGACTTTAGGATTGTAAATAAAATTACTCTGTATTTTACAGATTTTTTTACATTACCTACCTACAGTGCAATAGGAATGGTCTATTTCTGCTTATATAATTAATATATATACAACCAACTTACATATTTGAAAGTTCATAATTGAGAAAGAATTCTATGAAGTGCTTTAAAATTGTAAAACTTGAAGAAAAGAGAGAAAGCCAACTTTGTGAAATTTTCTTAATTTGTTTGATGTTTATGCATGCTTTTGATTAACTGCATTGCTAATTTTTATTATTATAATATATTAAATAAATTCCACATATGTATGAAATTATTTTTTACTCAGCTAAGTTTGTTAAGGTTGTGAAGTGTAACTATATAAGATTTTTTTATTAGGAGTTTTCAAAATTACTAAAGGGCAAAAATGTATATTCACTAAAACTAGTTGATGACCTTAAAAAACATTGCATAATATAATCTTGTTAATAGTAAAAAAGTAAATCAAATTCTGAAGACCCTTACCATTGATTAAATTACGTCAGTGATGCCAGTTATAATGCTCTACTACTATGCTCTATATGGAGTAGGACCAACTTTTCAGAGGTCCCTCTGGTTATTTTCTTACCTGTATAATTTATAACCTTATATTGAACACTGCAATATAAATGTCATTTGTATTCACATAAAGTCTTGGTGGCTTTATTATCTTAAATGGTTTTCTTTCAGATGATACAAAGGACACAGATTCTTTATCAGATGAAGCTACACACAATAGCAATCAGAACAACAGCAATTGTTCTTCTCCATCTCGAATGTCTGATTCGGTGTCTCTTAATACTGATGGTAGCCAAGACACCTCACTCTGCTCTCCAGGGAAAGAAACTCATATTGGTATTAATTCCAAAATCAGGTTGGTGATCATCTTACAAAATTATTTATTTGTAATAAATAGAAACAGTAAGGCAACTGTAGCACAGACACTTAGGAAAATCATTAGATTTAGTTTCTCTTTTACTCCCATATTTTATGCAGATTTGTCTGCTTTATACAATTTTCTTTTATTTGAATTTAATAATAGCAACTGAGTTACTAGGGCTAATGTAATGTTTCAGAATTACCTCTAAAACTGTCCTTCCTTTTTACTCAACTATTAGAGATATTGGAGCCCTGGTGTGGCATTATAGGATAAGCACTGGACCACAAGGTCGGTTTGAACCACAAGATTGGCAGTTCAGACTCACCGGTCGCTCTTTACAAACTCTACACAGGGTCGCTGTGAGTCTGAACTGATTCAATGGTACTTAACAACAACAATTCAAGATACTGGCTTTCTCAAGGTATACCTGCCCATCTTTCAGACATTTCCATTTTGGGCATAGTCATGAAAGGATACCACAGGAAAGGACACTTAAATCCGTTTTTCTTTATTGTTAGCCCTATTAGATTTTAAAGTCTCAGAAACCCTGTGCAGAGTCACTATGAGTTGGAACAAACTTGATGGCACTTAACAACAACAACATGCTATATATGTTTATTGTTAAGTGCTGTCGCATCAGTGCCGACTCTGAGCCACCCTAGATAAGGTTTCCAAGGAGCAGCTAGTGAGTTTGAACTGCCAACCGTGTCATTCTCGGTCCAGTGCTGATCCTGCAGTGCCACATAGTATCTATGAAATTTAAATATTTTGTTTCTATTTTTAAAGGTATATTTAAATGATAAATTTAAGTCACATGCTTCATAATATAATGCCTTTTATTTGTGACTTTATTTGGGCACTGTAGGGTAATGCCCTGGATCACAAGGTCAGTTTGAATCTCAAGGTTGGTGGTTCAAATGCACTAGCCACTCCTCAAAAACCCTATACAGGGCCGCTTATGAGTTGGAATCAACTTGATGACACTTAACAACAACAGCAATACCTACACATTACCTGATTAGTTAACTAATCTCACCCTTACTAATAAACTGGATTTTCTGTTGTTTTTCATAGAATTATTTTTATTTTAGGCAAGAAGATGAAAATTTTAATAGCCTTTTGCAAAATGGAGATATTATAAACAGTTCAACAGAGGAAAAATTCAAGTCTCATGATAAAAAAGATTTAAACATCCCTGAATATGATTTGAACATTGAAGAACGATTAGTTCTGATTGAGAAAGGTATTGACTCAACAGATACATCTGATGAATCTCACAAATTAGACCATATCAATATGAATCTTAATAGACTTATAACTAATGATACATTTCAGCCAGAAATAGTGGAAAGATCAAAGACACAGGATATAGTACTTGGAATGGACTTTTTAAGCATAAATGCTAAAGGAGAAGTTGAACACTTGGAATCCCTTAATAAGGTAAATGGACACTCTGAGGAAACTCCACAGTCTCCCAGGAGGACTGAGCCAATTGGCACTGATTCTTCTGTTGATGTGGGTATTTCCAAAAGCACTGAAGATCTCTCCCCACAGAGAAGTGCACCAATTGGGTCTGTTGTGAAATCTCACAGCATAACTAATATGGAGACTGGAAGACTAAAGATCTATGACATTCTTAGTGATAATGGACCTCAGCAGCATAGTGCAACAGTTAAAGTAACATCTGCCATTGACGGAAAAAATATCGTAAGAAGCAAATCAGCCACACTTTTGTATGATCAACCATTACAAGTATTTGCAGGTTCCTCCTCCTCTTCTGATTTGGTATCAGGTACCAAGGCGATTTACAAGTTTGATTCAAATCATAATCCTGAAGAGGCAAACATTACAAGAGGCCCCACAACATGTGGCCCACAATCTGTGACTCAAATGTATGGTCCTCCACAATATAATATCCAATACAGTAGTAATAGTAGTGCTACAGCTAAAGACACTTTGTGGCACTCCAAACAAAATCCCCAAATTGATCATGTCAATTCGCCTCCTCAGCGCCTTCCTAGATCAGAGAGCATAGAAAGTCACAATTATGTTAAACATTCTGCAAATCTGAATTTCTCTAATCATAATAATGTTCGAGCTAATACTTCATACCATTTACATCAGAGACTTGGCCCAGCAAGACATGGGGAAATGTGGGCTATCTCACCTAATGACCGACTGAATCCTGGAGTAACTCGGCCTACAATTCAGCGACAAAGTAGTGTGTCCTCAGCAGCCTCAGTAAATCTTGGTGATCCAGGTCCAACAAGGCGGGCCCAAATTCCTGAAGGAGATTATTTGTCATACAGGGAATTACATTCAGTGGGAAGAACTCCACCAATGTTGTCAGCATCTCAGAGACCTCTTTCTGCACGAACATACAGCATTGATGGCCCAAATGCACCAAGACCGCAGAGTGCTCGACCCTCTGTTACTGAAATACCAGAGAGAACTATGTCAGTTAGTGATTTCAATTATTCACGGACTAGTCCTTCAAAAAGACCAAATGCAAGGGTTGGTTCTGAGCATTCTTTATTAGATCCTCCTGGAAAAAGTAAAGTCCCTCATGACTGGCGAGAACAAGTACTCCGACACATCGAGGCCAAAAAGTTAGAAAAGGTAATTGAAAATGAGTTTTTATTCAGTTGTAAATTTATTTTTCTTAAATATACCTGGTATTCTTCATTTTTTACACAAGTTGTAAGAAGCTGTACTGAATCACTGATTATCTAGGAGCTTTTCCCTGCTACTAGGAATGGAGTTCCAAGTTTAGACTTGAGTAGGACTCAAAACAGTTGTGATGATAATATAAACTTCTTTCCTTTCTCTTATTCCCTGGTTAGATCTTAATGTAGCTCTCTTAAATTATGTTCACATGTTATAAAAAATACACGTCTATGTGAATGCATTTCCATTTAACCTTTTCTGACCTCTTGGTCGCCTTTATTAATTATGAATGAGTTTTAAAATGTTAAGAATAACAGTTTGCTGTATAGCTAACATAATAGCAAGAAATGTGTTGTAAATATAAATTTTCATCTCGGGTTTCCCCCCAGTCTACATTATATAAACTAACATCATCACTGACACAGATTGCTTCTGGCATGGCATTTACTTTTGACTTTTATTAGCTGCAGTTCTGTTACGTGTTTCTGTGGCTATGGTGTAGTTTGGAAATAGGTGGTAAAATAATTTATGCTTGTGTTTATAACTTTTATTTATAATTGTTTGTCCTTTTAACGGAGGTAAAAAGTTTTTAATTACCCTATGAAACCAATACTAGTGACATAGTTAAATTACCCAAGTGTGTAAGCCATCTTCTTTTTTAAAGATTTAGCTTCATTTATCACTCACTGGATTTTACCCAAACATAATCTTACCTTTAGCTCTTAAAAATAAAATGCATTCTTTATTAAAACTGAACATATGCAACTATAGTCATTATAAGATTCTTAAAACAAATTGATCAAAACTAAAGTCTAAAATATTAGTGTTGTTGTTAAGTGCCATTGAGTTGGTTCTGACTCAGAATGAGCCTGGATAGGGTTTCTGAGGAGAAGCTGATGAGTTTGAACCACCAACCTTGCAATTCAGTGCTTTTCCTACAGTGCCACACCAGAATTCCAAAATATTATTAATACATTATAGCAATTCAGTTGATAATAATTGTTAGCTCTTTTTTGATATTGTCTCTGATCTTTAGAATACTTGTTAGTCTATTGGTCTTAGCTACTTCTTTCTCATCTATCCATTTTGTTTCCACGTAACTCCACTTACTGTTGAAGCTAATTGAACTGTGCTTTTCTAAGAAATTTAGAAGTTTCTTAAGCAGGGAAGTAAAATAGCTGTGTTTTATAAATAAACTTCTGGTGACAGTGTGAACGGTTTAAGGAGGAAGAAACTGTAGTTAAGGAAATTGAACTATGAGGTTGTTTCAGTGATACAGATAAGAAATAATGTGAACTGTTTAAGTGCAGTTGAGGTAAAGGAGCAAATTCAGAAGACAGTTCTAAAAGAGACTCTTCAGGCATTGAGAAGGGTTAAAACTTGGAATCTTTACCTTCAGTTAAGTGGTTGTTAAGATGTGTTAACTATTTCTGGGCATAAAGGAGAGGAGTAGATTTGACAGAAAAAAACGGATTTGATTATCTTTATGTTTCATATAGTAGACATCTCATACAACTGTTCTTCTATTACTTTGCCATGTGCATGGACTTTAGTAAATGGCACATAGTAACGAACCACTCAGCTTTTTTGTTCATTCCATAAAATATATATTTAGAAATTGTCTAGGAGCGTGTATAGTTTCTTAGATCGAGCATAGTTTCTTGGAATGTCCATGACAGTGGTTTCTCTGTTGTGCCCACCTGTAATTTAAAGTTAAGAATTAGGTTAGTTAGAGGTCCTATGAGAACAAAACAGGGCAAACTGTGCAATAGCTGTATGAAGATAAAAGGAAGGTACTCTTTCACATGATATGCTTGCCAAAACATCCTCCTCCCAAGCTATTAATTTACTAGCTAGTACATTGTGGTGGTACATTCCAGGTAACTGGTTAGGAAGTATTTTCCAAGTAAACACTAACTATATGTTACTGGTACTGCAGCCCTGTCATAGTCCTTTCAAGATCTTTCATTCTCCTTGTGTTTCTTAAATGTGTGCTTCTTTCTTATCTTAAGTAGTGTGTACATATGAGCCAGCTTTTACATAGTGTTATTAAAAGTTTCGTTTTCAGATATATTGTACTACCAAAAAAAGATTCTTAGGTTTGATAAGCCATATATATATATATGGTTTTTTACTTGTGAATTGAGTAAAGGTTTACAGACAAGATTAGCAGTTTTATATTCAACAAATAATACATTTTGTTTCATCTCAATGATTGCGATCCCCTCCATGGAACAACAGTCATCTGCTTCCTCTCTGTGGCTCCTATTTCCAACCACTTTCCCATCCCTTCTAACCATTGTCCTCAGGTACATGTTGCCCCTTTGATTATAAATGATTGACTTCCATCATTCATAGCGAGCATATCTGACAAGTATTGTTGTTCCCCTATATACGTAACTACTGCTTGGCTGAGAGAGGGTGTGTTCCTTTCCAGACCTGAAGGGTGCTTGAGGGTCACAATCTCAGTTTCCACCAGTCTCTTTCTAATAAGCCCAGTCTATATATATATATAGACTTTGCAGTCTGACACATTAGTCCACAGTGCCACACCAGGACTCCCTGTATCTATATATGGATATGTATAATTTTGAGTTTTGATCCATACATTATGCCACTCTATCCAGGACCTTCCAGTGATCCCGTTCAGGTCACTTGGTATAGTGGTAGCTGGGCACCATCTAGTTCTTCTGGTCTCAGGGTCATGCAGACTGATGTTCACATGTTCCAGTAGTCCATTGGACAAATTGATTCCAAGCATCTTCAGTTCTTATCACTAATCTTTCTTCCCCACATGACAATACCATTAGCTACACATTAAACTGCTGCTCATGTGCTTTTAATAGCCCAGATGCTACTCACCAAAGTAGGATGTAGGAACATTGTCTCCGTGTACTATGTTGTGCCAATTGACCGTGTTGTCCCCTGAGACAACCTGTTGTCTCCAGGCTCAGCTACTTATTACCTTAAGGTGTTCAATAATACCTAGTTCTCATCATTTTGCCTGCTGTATGCACCACCACAGTCACAGTGGTGTTTGCAGGAAAGGTAAAAATATTCATGTACTAATTTCCTCTTTCACATGCTTGTATGTTTAATGTGTACAATGTATACATCCATATACACATCTATATACATACACATGCATACACACACATTCTACTTTTCTTCCCATAATCAGTCTGCCTGTGTCTCTGTCCATGTATCTACCTGCAGAGTATTTTTGTTCCAAGGTTGTATTGTTGTTAAGTGCCATCGAATGGGTTCCAACTCATAGTTTCCAAGGAGCAGTTGATGGGTTTGAACTGCTGACCTTCTGGTTCACAGTCCAGTGCTGATCTAAAGTGCGATAGCAGAAGTCCTAAGATTGTATATATAGCACTAGGTTGTATATATGGCACTATTTACCTCTATCCCCTTTAGCCTTTGTATATCCCCCTATATCTTCACCTGTATTCATCATACTCTGCCAACCTTCCTCTTCTTGTATATTGCCCTTCCCTTTCTTGTATGTTGTCCTCCCTGTCACCCAGGTTAACATGTCTGCCCTATAACCAGTGAACCACTCTCCCTTCCCTTCCACCCTGGCAACCATCAAAGAATGTTTCATTTTTCTCTTTCAAGCTCTTACATATTTGTGGGCTATAAAAATACATGTCTCACTCTTCCTCCCTTACCTATTCAGCCTGTGTCTCAATCCATGTATCTATGCCCAGAATACTGTTGTTCCAGGGTAGTGTATACATTACTATTTACCTCTATCGCCTTTAGCCCATGAATACCTCCCTGTGTCTTCAACTGTCTTCATTACTTTTCTGCCATCCTCCCTCTTTTTGTATATTGCCTTCCCCATCACCCAAGCTAACATGTGTCTAGCCAATGAATTATTCTCCCTTCCTTTCCATCCCTGGTAACTATTAAAGAAGGTTTCTTTTAGTCTGGACACTTTTTCTTAAGTTTTTACAATAATGGTCTCATACAATAATTGTCCTTTTGCTATTGACTTATTTCACTTAGCATAATGTCCTCCAGGTTCATCCAAGTTATGAAGTGTTTCACAGATTCATTATTATTCTTCAACATTGTGCGTATGTACCAGTTTCTTCACCCATTCTTCCATTGTTGCTCACTTAGCTGTCTCCATTTTTTTGCTGTTGTGAATAGTACTGCAATGAACATCAATGTGTAGATCTACTGGCTCCTAGTTTTTGGTCATATGCCAAGTAGAGGGATTGCTGGGCCATAAGGTATTTATATTTCCAACTTTCTGAGGAAGCACCATACCATTCTTCATAGTGGTTGAACCATTTTACAGTCCCTCCAGCAATGCAGGAGGATCCCAGTCTCTCCACACTCTCGCCAGCATTTGTTTTCTTTCTTTTTTTTTTTTTTTTTAACATCTCTGTTAATATTGGTGTGAGATGATATCTCATTGTTTTGATTTGCATCTCTCTAATGGCTATGGGTCGGAACCAACTCGACGGCACTTAACAACAACAACAACAAAATGGCTAATGATCATGAACATTTCTTCATATATTTGTTGGCTGTTTGGATGTCTTGTTCAGTGAAATTATACAAGAAGTCCTCAGAGCAGGAAGAGATCGAGGGCTTCAACACAGTTGGATTAGAGATTTTTTTTTGAGAAAAACTGATTTTAAAAATTGGGGCCAATTTTGGCTCCATACATTAAGCACTGGATTGTGAACCACAAGGTCAGGGTTTGAACCCACCAGCTGCTCTGCAGGAGAAAGATGAAGCTTTCTGCTCCTGCAAAGATTTAAAGCTTCGGAAAGCCTAAGCAGGGTTGCTATTACTCAGAACTGATTAGATAGCACTTAACAACAGTAAAATTTATTGGATACTGTACAGACGTTATCTCTTAATGTTCATAAGAATTCTATGAAGGATTTTGATATGACTATTGCATTTTATGGTAAGAATATTGAGGCTAGTTAAGCACTTGCCCAAGATGGCATACATTTCATGTGATGAAGAGGGAACAACTTTAAAAGCTATGCAAAACCATTTAGATTTATTGTAATGAACTGTTGTTGTTGTCAGTTCTAACACATAGTGACCGTGTATACCCTGTATAGGGTTTCCGAGGCTGTAAATTTTCACAGGAGCAGGAAGTCTCATATCTCTCCCTTGGAGCAGCTGGTGGACTTGAACTTATCCTGCAGCACCCCCAGTATTCCATGATGAACAGTGGAGCACCGTTTTCCCCCCCAAATGGGGATTGATGTAATAAAGAGATACTATGATATCTCCAGAAGAAAAGCTCAGGCCGAATTAATGAGGATTACTTTAGAAGACTATATTAACAGTAAAACAGCAAGATAATAGATACGTGTGCTAGGATTGTGGCAGGAGGCACAGTGGCTCCATACGATGAACCCTGGACTGAGAACCACAACAACAACAAGGATTGTGGCTGTAATGGAGATGAATCTGAAAAGCATTTTGAAGAAAACTATCTAGCTATTGGTGGTGATAGTGGTTAAGTGCCTTTGAATCGATTCTGACTCTTAGTGACCACATATAGAGTTTCCGAGGAGCAGCTAGTGGGTTTGATCTGTCAACCTTGTAGTTCGCAGTCCAGTGCTGATTCTAAAGTGTTACACCAGAAGTCCTATATAGGAATTGGAAAAGTAAACAATCTAAGCAGAAACTGAGTTTCAATTTCCACATTTTTTATGTTTTTAACAATGCTGCTCTCAGAAACCCTTTACAGGGTCACTTTGAGTCTGAACCGACTCAAGGGCACTTGACATCAACAACAACAGTAATTAAGAGAGTAGAATGCTTAAAAAGATGGATAGTGATTTGAAGTGTATTCAGTTTGATGTGATAGGAATGTGTGCAAATAAATGACGTAGAAGACGGAATGAAATTGGGCTAGTGATGCAAATTTGATATACAAACCATGCAAGTAGATGAATTTTCCTAGGCAGTACTTTTGTAGGGAAAGAACAGAATGTTTTTTCTTACTTGCTTCTTGTTCCCCAGTAATTTGAGCAGAGTACAGTAATGTGTATAGACTTAACATTTTTCCAACATCATCTACTCTCCCCCACTGTTAATTGTACTGGATATTTTGCCATTTTAAAGGTAGAATGGTTTGAATACTTAAATAATTATATTTAGATTTTACCTTTGTTCTTCCTTTAATCTAGACTAACAACAAAGCCCACTGCTTTTGAGTTGATTTGTACTCTTAGGGACACTATTGTAGGATTGTCAAGTCTTTTAATCTTTAAAGGAGCAGAAAGCCTCCTCTTTTCTCCCACTGAGCATGTGGTGAATTCTAACTGCTGGCCTTGCAGTTAGCAGCCCAACATGTGACCCACGAGGCCACCAGGGCTCCTGTTTCATCTAAATAGTTGTTCTCAAACCGCTCTGTATGTATTTTATAAAACAAAATCCTGTACAAATGGATTGCAACTTATGGTGACCCTATATAGGGTTTCCAAGACCGAAAATCTTTCCCAGAAAAGACAACTTCATCTTCTCCATGGAGTGGCTGGTAGGTTAGCATTCCAGTATGTATCCCACAACTCCACTTCTTGTTGTTAAGTGCCGTCAAGTTGGTTCCAACCCATAGCGACCCTGTAAAGGGTTTCCAAGGAGTAACTGGTGAGCTTGAACCACCTACCTTGTAGTTCAAACGGCTTTGCAGTCTGGCACATTAACCCACAGCACCACACCAGGACTCCCTAAATCCACTGCCATCAAGTTGATTGCTGGCATATGTCAACCTTATAGGACAGAGTAGAACTGCTCCATAGAGTGAAGTTATAGAAGTAAATTCCCTCATCTTTTTCCCACAGAGTACCTGGTAGATTCAAACCCATGACCTTTTAGTTAGCCAGCCCTGTGTTTAATCCACTATTCCACGAAGACGTCTCCCAGGGAATCTTAACTACTTTAACAGCAATGTAAAATGTAATGAAGACTCCAAACTTTAGAGCATTGGTTCAAACAGGGAGAGGGTGACAGAGGGTCACTGTATACCACCACCACTCCTCTACCTCCCCCAAGAATCAGAATTCTAATGACAGAGTAGACATATGAATTAAATCCCCCAGGGATTTGTAAGTCTGCAAATCAAAAGTTGCTAGTTTGCTCAGCTGGGAGTTTAATAATGATATTAAGTGCCATCGAGTTGGTTCCGACTCGAAGTGACCCCGTGTAGGGTTTCCGAGGAGCAGCTGGTGGGTTTTGCACTGCCAACCTCATGGTTCAAAGTCCAGTGCTGACCCTACAGCACCACACCAGGAGTCGATGGGAGTTTAGTAATAGTACAGAGTAATGCAGAAAGAGATAAGTAATTTTCCTCAACAAACTGTACCTGAAGCCCAAAAATATAAAATTGGTGTTGTTGTTGTTAGGTGCCATCGAGTCAGTACCAAGTCATAGTGACCCTCTGTACAACAGAATGAAACACTACCCAATCCTGAGCCAACCTCACAATTGTTGCCACGCTTGAGTCCATTGATGCTACCATTTTGCCAATCCATCTTGCTGGGGATCTTCCTCTTTTTCTCTGACCTTACCAAACATGATATACTTCTCCGGTGCCTGGTCCCTCCTGACAATATGTCCGAAGTATGAGAGACGAAGTTTGGCCATCCTGGCCTCCAAGGAGCACGCACTCTGGCTTCACTTCTTCCAACACAGATCTGTTGGTTCTTTTGGCAGCCCATGGCATTTTCAGTATTCTCCTCCAACACCGTAGCTCAAAAGCATCAATTCTTCTATAGTTTTCCTTATTCACTGTCCAGCTTTCACATGCATATGAGGTTACTGAAAATACCATGGCTGGGGTCAGGTGTACCTTAGTCCTCAAGGTGGCATCTTTGCTCTTCAACACTTTAAAAAGGTCTTGTGCAGCAGATTTGCCTAATGCAATACGTCGTTTGATTTCTTGACTGCTGCTTCTGTGAGTGTTGATAGTTGATCCAAGAAGAATGAAGTCCTTGACAACTTCAATCTTTTCTCCATTGATAAGAATGTTGTTTATTGGTCCAGTGGTGAGGATTTTTGTTTTCTATACATTGAGATGCAATCCATACCGAAGGCTGTGGTCTTTGATATTCATCAGTAAATATTTTAAGTCCTCTTCACTTTCAGCAAGCAAGGTTGTATCATCTGCATATCGCAGGTTGTTAATGAGTCCTCCTCCAATCCTGATGCCTCGTTTTTCTTTATAGAACCCAGCTTCTCATATTATTTTCTCAGCATACAGGTTGAAGAAGACGGATGAAAGAATACAACCCTGTCGCACACCTTTCCTAATTTAAAACCATTCAGTGTTTCCATGTTCTGTTCGAACAAACATATAAAATAGATACCTTAAAATCTTAAAACTTCTTATTTAAACTAATTGACAAACTTTGAAAAGGAATTTAAATTTTGTACTTCAAAGTTGAATTAATACTAATGTCCAGCTATTGCTTCTATTCCTTATTATATAAAAATTCAGATAAGATACACTTCAAACCATAAGATGATTACCATAATATGATCATTTTTCTTGTCCATTTGTTGTTATATAACTATTGCTTATAATCAGTGACATTGCCCTGGACATTTTCCCAGCATTTTATTGTGGTCTGCACATGTTCTGACAGGGTACACTTTTATGTGGGTGTATATGCACAGACCTGAATTCAAAACCAAACTTGTGCAGAAGTTCAGCTTTCTTAGTGAAATATTTACAAGAAGCTTATCTATGATCAGGCTTCAACAAAAATATCATCGACAATGGAACTCAAAGATAATGGAGTTCTTCTGTTTACTTTGTGAAGTCTCCTGCATATATTCAGAGATGACAGAAAAGCTTTGTTCGAAGATCTAATCAGTCATTGAGTTGGTTTGACTCATGCTAATCCCAAGTGTGTCAGAGTAGAACTGTGATCCATGGGATTTTCAATGGCTGAGTTTTCAGAAAATGCTGTTCTTGCCTAGAAGCTTAAGTTTTCTAGATTCTTCTAAATCTACAAGATATCTAAAAGCACATGTGATAATTTTATAGATCCTTTTCTTTCTGGAATCCCACGTTAATGTTTCGTGGGTATTAGAGATCAACTTGAAAATCTTGAAATGGTAAATTTTTCCCAAGTATAAATTTTCCTTAAGAACACATGCTTGTTTTGTAGCATTCCTACATTTTAAAATAACAAGACATGCCCAAAGTGTGGTCTTCCCTAGTTTGACTATCAAGGCTTCAGTACACAGAGTACACTTTTTGTATGACTTTTTATAGATACACTTATATCTTCTGGGTATAACATCAATTCCAGTTTTCTGATTAATTTCTAATAAGATGTGATAAGAATTAAGGAAATAGCATCTTAAATGCTAAGTACGAAACATAAAGCTTTATGTTTGTATTTTCTTCCTTGATGTCCAAACATGTGAATGATAGTTTTTACTTGTAACCTGTGTATATGTATATGTTGTCATGTAAGTATATATGGTTTGTTGTTGTTGTT